TTTTTTTTTTTTAAGACAAATTTCACTTCATTGTCCTGGGTAAAGTGCTGTAGCATCACAGCTCATAGCAAGCTCAAACTCTTCGGTTTGAGCGATTCTCTCACCTCAGCCTCCAGTACCTATGGAGTACAACTTCCAGTACACTATGCCTGGGTATTTTTAGAGACCAGGCATCGCTCTGGCTCAGGCTGGTCTCAAATTCTAAAGCTCAGGCAATCTACCCGCCTCCCAGAGTGCTAGGATTACAGGTGTGAACCACCACACCTGGTCCAGATGGTAAAATTAGCAGAGAAGGACATTAAATTTGAAAAATAACAGGTAAAAAATTTCCACATTTGCCAAAAACTACAAGCTCACACATCAAAGAAAACCAACAAACTCAAAGCAAAAGAAACATTAAGGTAATTATATCAAGATACATCATAACCAAATTGCTAAAAACTAATGATATAGAAAATCTTGACTTGGTGCCCGTAGTACAGTGGTTACGGCAGCCTATAGTCCCAGCTACTTGGTAGGCTGAGGCAAGAGAATAGCTTAAGCCCAAGAGTTTGAGGCTGCTGTGAGCTGTGACGTCACAACACTCTTACAAATGACAGTGAGACGCTGTCTCAAAAAAAAAACAACAAAAAAACCCCCAAATAACCAGAAAAAAATTGTATACCTATATGATCTTTATGCACTTAAATAAAGGTCTTGCCCTGACAAGACCATCATACTGTATTCATTACCTCTTGTTAGGCATAGGTGAAAATAGTCACAAATATTCTCTTCACATATCTGTGCTCACAAATTCCTTTAACTTTATGTAATATACTAGCTAGTAAGGGTATGCAAAGATCCATTTTTCATTTATCCTGAGAGCTTAAATCTTAAAAATGTCTGTCATATATTCAAAACCAAATAAAAAATTTTACTAGTTTGAGACTAGATGACTTCTCATTGGTATCTAATAAAGTAGATTGAGCTGTTAATCATTTTACTTAGTTATGCTGCCTTTAACTTTTATATTCAAATTGCTTAACTCTGAACAATTAAACCTCTAATTAAAATGTACAATTATTTTTTACAAATTAAAAGCATATACAGAATATTTAGTATGATTTGTTTTTAATTTTAAACAGTCTTCTATCTCTTTATCTCATACAATCCCTGTTCCTTCCAGTCTTTACTTCTGTGATGCGTGTCGATGAGTATTAATATCTTCAAAACAGATGACAGACAGGGAAGACAAGTAAGAGATAAAATAGGGAGTGCTGTTTACTTGATTAATTTCCCTGGCAGTAACTAAAGTGCATTTGACACAAAAATACTATTTCCCAATTAAAATAAATCCTAAACGTAGCAAAGTTTGCGTCTGGAAAGAGACTATGTTGCTTTGAGTTTTATTAGAATCACTCTGAACCCTTTTAATTCACTTAACTGTTGTCATTGGATCCTTGGGGTCTGCCACTCTCAGTTCAAGAGAATATTTTTCCTTTGGCTCTCTTAGTTGGGCTGATGCAGGCTAAATTTTCAAACAGATTTTATTAAATTCTAAGTGAAACACAGACATTGGCATTCAGAATACAGGTTCAGTGGAGGTTCAGCCCCAAACGGCCTCCTCCAGGGCTCAAGGCCCTCACCCACTCCGTGAGGCTTAGCCTCAGGATTACTGTCACAGCTTCCCCATATTCAGGTGGACAGTGCTACCACAACCCACCTCCTACAAGGCATCTTGCTATTATTATGAAGACTACAGGAAGCAGATTCTTATGAGTTGGCTGTTTAGGATTGCTCTTTTCTAGTCTGATCCAGAAAAGAAGATGACTAATAATATAAAACTCTCATACTTCAGGTAAGAGTTTCACCTTTCCATAATAGGGACTGGGCTGTATACTTATAGACCTGATGCTATAACCAAGAATAAGGCCAGGCATGGTGGCTCATGCTTATAATCCTAGCACTCTGGGAGGCTGAGGCAGGTAAACTGCTTGAGCTCAGGAGTTCAAGACCAGACTAAGGAAGACTGAGACTCCACCTCTACTAAAAACAGAAAACCTGAGGCAAGAGGATCACTTGATCCCAAGAGTTTGAGGTTACTGTGAGCTATGTATAATGCCATGGCACTCTACCAAGGGTGATAAAATGAGACTCTGTTTCAAAAAAATAAAGTAAAAATAATACACATCACAGTAAAGAGAAAATGAACAATACACATTTCATTTTGCTTTTGACACTGAATAAATTATCTACATTCTAACATATCCCAAATAGCTTTAGTTAGTGGCCAGGGGGGCTTTCTTCCTTCCCATTTCTCTAAGAGCCACAGGATAATAAGCTCTTCAGCTGATTTCAACATTGTTCTCAGGATCCTCAGTTTCTAGACTCAAAGTTTCCTTGGTAATCTTTACTGTTGCTTTGAGAAAATAAGTACTTTCTACTCTTTCTCAGACTAACCTATAAAGACAAAGCAAAGTGTAGAGTATATAATGTTTATCTCTTGGAGTATTCTTGCCACAAGTTTAATCCTGTGCTACCACTATAGCAGCTGGGAGATCTTGTGTACTGTTACTTCTCTGCTTGTGAGCTGTGATGCCATGGCATCCCACCAAAGGCGACATAGTGAGACTCTGTCTCAAAA